CCAAACCAAGATTCTTGGGTCTGCAGTAGAAAATCATGTTCCAGTTCTGCAGTTGTCATAGACACTAGTGCTGTCTGGGGGCTGTGCCGGGAAGGGACAGCTGTACCAACTTGCTACTGGTGGCTGAACACCACCTTTTAACTCACTCATGTCCCCTTGTTTATGAAAAGCTATAGAATGTGCTTTCAGAAGGAATCTTTTGTATTCCTATTGGCATAATGAAGGCTTCCAAGCTATTAGCCTGCTTTCCTAAAGCAGTTAATTCAACACATGTGCACAGCGGACTGTTATTCATGAGCTGTGCTGCCAGTTGGCAGCCTGGGCCTTGCTAGTAGATTGGAGGAAATGATAGCTGTTGTAGTGGAATCACACCCAGCCTTTTGTGAGACGGGTACAAATTGCATCGCTCTTTGAAGGTTGTGATGTTTGGTATGTAAGAGTGAACACCAGGAGACTGCATGCCTTAAGGGGGGAAGGGTAGCTTAGTGCTAAGGCCCAGCGAGAAACCTTGAGTCAGCAGCCCTCTGTAGGAAAGGGTTCTGTGGAGGATGGAGGTGGTAAGTGCTGAAGAGCTGAACCTGGATGGGCACTGCTCTCAAACGGATGACTCTGGCCCTGGGACAGGACTTGTCCACACAGGCTTGCCTTCTCTGGAAGGAATTCTGCCACACTCTTGCAGTTCATCCTGCTGCTCTGGGATTGCCTTCCCTCCTCTGGAATATAAAGGGAGAGGGCTGGATGCCAAAGAAAGCCCCTTGTGGTACAGAGACCACTGTGGTTTCCCCCGTTCACTTGGTTGGCCGCCGGAAACAAAGAGGTACTTTGCTGGGAAGAGCAGCATGAAATGATGAGACTGGTTGGTTTTCCGCCATCGCTCTTCGACTTTTTTACTCTTTCCACACTGACCTCTTATTGCAAGGCCCATGATCATTCATCTCACTTGCCCGGTTAAGATGTCTCGCGTGTAGATGCCACAAAGGAAAATAAGAACATGCCTGCCAAGGAAGACAGGTTTGCCTGAAGTGAGGATTCACTGTCATTGGGCACCACCTTGGCTTAATGGGATGGAGAGTAAGGAACGTCTCAACTGAATCCCCAAATAAAAGTCACAGCATTCTTAGGATGAGGGGGGGTGTGATGAGGGTTATATGATCATAGCGACTGACTCCTGAGGGTGTGCACTCAAGGTTTTGAGACTCCCCCCTCCCCACCAGTACAAGTCCAGGGATGGGTAGACAAGAGACCAGGCTGGACTTACCAGCCAGGAAATCCAGCGAAGGGCTCTATTTTAGCTGTTGTTTCATCGCCAGGACTCTGGTGTCACCTAGAGGAGTCACGCAGTGCCAGGTGACAGCACGTCGATCCCCACATGCTTGCGTGTGCTCAGCGTGTGCCCAGGGGTAAGCACCGTGCCTGACGTGTATGACTCACGCACATGTGCTTCTGTTCTGTTGAAGACAATGCAGAACAAACCTCTCCCCTTTGACATATTTATATGTATGTATATATTGTCTTTATTTCAAAGCTCCTTTTCACATCTATTTGGAGGGACACTCTTGTATCGCTCATTAGAGAATGGTTTCTGGCCCTTCTTTTCCCCCTGCCTTTTCTTTCTAAATACATGTAGTTAAAATAGTTGCTTAAAATTTTGATTGTCAAGCACATCCAAGTTAGATCTCCAAGGTTCCCATTATATTGTATTTGTTGAATCAAGATTCCAGTTATATAAATCTCATTTTAATCAACAAAAGTTTTTTCCTTGCAGAGGTCATACTTTCTTCCTACTTAATTTGACTATCAACCTTATTATTCGGAAAGTTCACTGTTACTCGTTCTTCATTGTGAAAAAGTTTAGAAAGCAAGACAAAATGCTGGATCTACTGTGCTCCTTACAAGATTGTGTTTATAACTTTTCAACCAAAATTAACATCTGCAAAGACCACCTGACTTCTATCTCTGACCTATATGTTTGTTGTTTGCCAGTCTCTACAGATTTTTTTTTATAAATAAAAGCTAGTTTCTCATGTTAGAATAATTTCTGATCTATGCCTTTGGGGCATTTGAATATACATCGAGAGAAATTCTCTTTGGGGCATTAATTAATTTGAAGGATTAATTTTAGAAGATATCTTTTGCAAACCTAGACTAAGGGTAAGTTATTATCTATAGTGATGTTTTGCTTGTTTCTTATGCCTCATGCCACCACTCTGCCTTAATACATCTGGCACCTGAAAAAAGTAGAGACACTTTTAGAAAGATAGTGTGCATGACAAGGACACCTTGCACTTATAGGAAAGATAATGCATTTTGTTTGTTTCTTCTAGGCATCCTGAGCATGAGAATGAATGTTCTTTGATAGTGTGTGTCAGGCTGGATGTGAGGATTAACTGAGAGATTTGGGCTGAGTATTCTCTGACTTTCAGTCTCAGGTTGGAGAGGCAGAGTGTGGTCCTTCCAGCTGTTGCCACAGCAGAGGAAGGGTTAGGACTGAGTCTTATCATGTCCTGGAATTTACATGTTCAGAGACACATAATGTATAAAAAAGGAAGAAAGTGGTCAATACTAGGAAATAAGGACTTTTGGCTTCAAAATCACCTGTGAGAATGGCAATGGGCATACACGGGAACATTCTTGGGGAATGTAGGGGAACTTCCCCCCTACTCCAAATAGGGCCTGGGGTCTCTAGGTAGCAATAGCATTTTTCTCTGTGGAAATCTAACAATACAATCACTTTGCTGACACGTGTCACAAGTGTGAAAGGTGGGAAGAAAAGAATAAAAATTTGTGAACATAAACGCAGAGTCTATGCTTTCCCAAGAAAACATAGCTCCCCCTTTCACACTGGGAAAATAAAGTGTTATGAAACTGGTCTTTGATGAACTCCCACGAGAGGAAATTCTGACGTAACCATGGCACTAGTGGTATTGTGAGTTATAGGAAAATACATATATATGGTCATTCAAATAATGATCAAAATATATTTTTCATACATATCTCATCTTCACCCACAGTTTCTGACTCACATTCTCCTTGGAACTTGAGAGTATTATTGAAGGGGTCTCCTGTTATGTTATTGAAGGTAACTTTTGGAAAACACCATGGTTGCCAGGGAAACCAACATGAATATAAAGAGTGAGAATTTTTAATCCTGCCCCATGATTTCCTGGGAAAGTGGAGGGGCTAAAACTAGAGTTCAGTTGTCAATGGCCAATAATTTAGTCAAGCATGCCTAAGTAATGAAGCCCCATAAAAATCCAAAAAGGGGGGGAGCTTAAGAAAGCTTCCAGGTGGGGGCCTCCCTGGTGGCGCAGCCAGTTGAGCCCAGCACTGCGAAGCTGTCCACAGCCTCTGCTGTGCCGGTTCGATTCCCAGCCAGCCAGGGAGATACCCACATGGCGTGGCAGACCTCTTCTGTCTCTCCCGCTGCTCCCCTCAGCAGTGTACTTCGGTCCTTCTGCATGTTCTGCTCCCTGCTCTGTCTCTGGTGAATTCTCTCACCTTCCCACGCCTCTGGCCTGCATCCCAGTGCTTGTATAAATAAATCTTTAGAAAAGAAAGAGAGAAAACTCCCAGGTGGTAAATATGGGAGGTTTGGGGAGATAGCATGGCTATCTCCACGCTTTCCCCAATTCCTTGCTCTATGCATTTCTTCCATCTGCCTTGTCTTGAGTTAGTGTTTGTAATAAATCAGTGATCTAATGAGGAAGTCGTTTCCTGAATTACATGAGCTGTTTTATTTAGCAAATTAATCAAATCTGAGGAGGGAGATGTGAAAACCTCTGAACTACAGCAGTCTATCAGGTAATAACCTGGACTTGGGACTGTCACCTGAAGTCTGGGGAGGGGGATAGTGGGAACTTCCAATCTATAGCTGGTTGGTCAGAAGCACAGGTAACTGACTGGGCTTGTGACTGGTGTCTGAAGTGGAGGGTGGTCTAGGGAGACTGAGTCTTGTGGAATCTGATGCAGTCTCTGGGTAGATTGAAATTGGGACTAGGGATACCACTCTTTATCTGCAGTCAATGCAATCACTTCATAATATGACTGGTGTCCACAATTAATCTCTTGTAACATAGAACTCCATTAAAGGAGATAACTAAAGATAAATATGCTCAAGATAACTCAGAAACAAAGATTTAATTGAGAAGAACTTATTGCTTTTTTAAAAAGTGGGCCCAGTCTCTTCAGTCTCCTAACTTTAGTTTGGGGTTTTTCCCTACCCTGGCAATTTGCACAGACATCACGAACAAAGGGGACATATGGCTGCTTCTTTACAGTGAGTGGTTATTCTGGGACGCTGTTCAGAAGACCACCTCCTTATTCTTTTTTTAAAGATTTATATATTCATACAAGAACTAAGGTACAGGCCAGAGGTGCAGGGGGCAAGAGGATTCTCCAGAGCCAGAGTGGGGAACAGAACAGGCAGACTGAAATATACTGCTGAGGGGAGCAGTGGGCGAGTCAGGAGAGGTTTGCTGTGCCATATGGGTCACCTCCCTGGCCGGGAATCGAACTTGTGCTGCAGTGGCTGCAGACAGCCTCATAGGTTTTAACCCCTTGTGCCACCAAGGAGGCCCCACCTCCTTAGTCTTGCTTTGAGCAGCAGTAAACCGAAATGTCCTCCACTAGTGTTTAACGGCAGGAATGCTGAAAGTGGTAAGATACATTTGAAGGTATGATAGCTTTCGAGCTGGGGAAGGAGCAATAATATGATTCCTGGAGCTGGCAGGGGGTACTGGAGAAAAGGGAGAAGAGCCTCTTACTGGCCTTGATAGGTGATGGAGGAACGGATAAATACATGGGTCAGTGCAAATTCACTGTGGGCGCTAGGAGAGATGCTGTGATGGGCAGGGTCTACTGATAGTGATTCAGGGATGTCACCTCAAGAAAGGAGGGCTTGCATTAGGGTTAGAGGGCATTTCCTTAACAATTTCCACACACACCTACTTGTTCCATTTGACACGTGAAAACAAAGATACGCGAAAACAAAGATACGCAAAAAACCAAGATTTATTTTTTTATTGATAACACAAATACAGAGGGGATGAGGATGGCATGGGCAGCAGATGCAACCCATGAGTCAGTGGCACTAAAAGAATCCATCTCCAAATTGACTCCCGAACAAATATGACATCTTAGGGCCTATCCAACATAAAGATCATAAGGTGTTCCAGGGTAACAGGTGGTGTATTTGTTGCAAGCATCAGCGACCTCTGACGTCTCCTACACTTGGCTCTCTTATTCTTAAACCAAATCTACAATCAAAAGGGAAAGGGGATTGGTTTAGAATATTGAACACTTAATGTAATAGGAAAAAACACAACATGCACCTTTATGTCATTGAGATTTTAAACTGTATCAGGAGAAACTATTTACTTATTCCTAAAACATCTTCAGAAGGTGAACACCATCACCCCTCCCTTCAGATCACCCTTGGTGAGCACTCGCAATGGGCCAAGTTTTGGAATAGGTTTATTGCTTTTTCTCTTTCTTTCCATATATCAATATTCTAATGTTTTTGTCCAGGTAGCAGATGCACATAGAGCTTATGAGTTGACCAGATCCTTGCTGTCGATCCGATGTCTGGATAAAGAAGTATGTATCCCAATCACCAGCTATCCAGCTGCCCCCACCTCACTTAAGGATGGAATCACTTTGTTTGGGAGGGGAGCTTGTGTATAATAAATCATGGACCCTCCTGAAAGTTGTATTGAGGGCATGGCTTCCTTGTTTGAAAAGTCTACCTTCAGTGTAAAGTAAATAATTAATAGGAAGGAACACGTTTTTAGACACAAAGTTTCCTTCAGAGATGACCAAGGGCTCATTAATCCTCTGAAATCTCTTGAGAGTTAAGAAGGTGACTTGCAAGGAAGACCTAGCCCTGGGGTTCCATGGTGCTAGCTGGGACATGAGAGGGGCTGAAACCTTGACATTTTAACCTGCAATGTTTTATTTATTTATTTATTTATTTATTTATTTATTTATTTATTTATTTATTTGTTCAAGCACTGGGTACAGTCAGAAGTGCAGGAGGGTGAGAAAATTCACCAGAGCCAGAGCGGGGAAGAGAACAGACAGACGGATGAAATAAATACACTGCTGAGGGGAGCAGCGGGCACGGCAGGAGAGGTCTGTGCGCCATGTGGACCCTCACTGCTGGCCTGGGATCGAACCAGCGCTGCAGAGGCTGTGGCAGCTTCACAACCCAGCGCTCAACCGCTGCGCCACCAGGGGAGGCCCTTAACCTGCAATGTTAAGGAAAGTTGAGACCAACTCCGCCCAAATGAACCCATACTCAAAATTCTGATCACCCAAGAATTTACCGGAAAAAAAGCATACCATTGTCACCGTGGTCAATTCCTCATGCTCCAACCTGCCCCGCCCTCCAAACCTTCCTGCGCTCAAGAGAGGTCAGGTCTCTCTGTCCAGGATCCCGGACCGGACTGGAGCTGCTGTTGCCCGGCACTGCAGGTTCTCCTGGGCGCTGCCACGCAAGCAGGAGGTTACCATCCCACCCCTTATTCTCGGGCAAGAAGGTGAAATAGCACATTAGGAAGACAGTTGACAACAATGAGAGTGAGGGGGTCACAAAATGGCTCCTTCCCTAAATATCGGCCACTTATTAAAATGCAAACAAACAGAACTGCTAAACTTTACTATCTGCTCAGTGTCCTGGTTAAAGGGGTTTACGTTATATCTAGGCCCTTTGGAAGTTTCCAAACTGCAAATTTTAAGGGGGAACAAAAAGTCTTTTCTCCTTCCCTGACACCGTATTTTCACTCTCCCATCTTAGCATTTGTATTGTCTTTGTTGCATGAATATGTAGTTTAAACACGCCAGTGGAACAGAGCTGATCTGGGGGGAGGGGCGGAATTAAAATGTACCAGTGGTTCTGAGGGTAGAAGTCAAATACTGTACAAAAATTAACAATGATATAAGAAAATAAAGAAATACAAATTTAAAAATGTGTACCAGTGGTCACAATTCCATAAAAATAATCTGCGATGGGTTGACACTGGTTCTGCCACAGAACAGTTTTATTTGCAAACGAAAGGAGAAAAGCTGTGTTTCTTGGGAAAATGCATGCTGTAGGGTTTAGAAAGAAATGAGAACACTCATTTTTTCCCCTCTTATTTATTTCTTGTAGCTCATACTCCCCTCAGAAAGTCAGAGAGCACTATGGGAGGGAAGGAGGAAAGCATGTTATCATACTTTAAGCTCTTTTTTTTTAACCTAAGAATATATATTTTTAAATTTAGTCAGTGTTCAGGTTAATGTTCAAATGTCCCAATTTTTCTTATTTTTCCCAGCTTTTGTTAGGTTGGTTGGTTGCTTAAAGAAGTGTCCAGATGAAATCCATATACTTTTTTAAAAAAGTATTTATTTATTTTTATTTATTTTATTTATTTATACAAGCACTGGGTACAGTCAGAAGCGCAGGAGGGTGAGAGAATTCACCAGAGCCAGAGCGGGGAGCAGAGCAGGCAGAAGGACCAAAGCACACTGCTGAGGGGAGCAGGGGGGGGGGGGGGGGGGGGGGGGCGGGGCAGGGGAGGTCTGTGCGCCAAGCGGGGAGGGGTGGCCGGGGAGCAGCCCGGGGCAGCCGGGGATCAAACCGGCGCTGCAGAAGCCGCGGGCAGCTTCGCAACCCAGCGCTCAACCGCTGTGCCACCGGGGAGGTCAGAAATCCATATACTTTAAATGACGAGTATGTCCAATTTAATTTCTAAACAACCTGAAATTCCACCTTGTATTTTCCTTGCAATTCACGTTTAGAAATTGAGTTCTTTGTCCTGAAGATTTTACCACAGGATGGATTTTAGCACTTGCCTTCCCTCAGTTCATTTTTTAAAACTAGATTAGCTAGTTGTTTTTCTATTTTGTATCTTTATCTCCCAAAGAAACAAGGTTTTATATTTATTCACTAATTCTGTTGTTTTTATGTTTTCCAACTCATTAACTTTTATCTTTCTGAATTCTGTCTACTTTCTTTTAGTTTACTGTTTCTAGCTTATTGAGCTGTTTCATTCATTTCTTTTCTTTTTTGCTGTACTTATATAGGTATTTATACTCTACATTTTTTTTGGTGGTTGTTCAACCACTATCTAATCAAATTTTTACGTGTCTGACCCTATCATTAGAAACCTTAAGTTTTCCCGGGCCTCCCTGTGGCCCAGCGGGTTGAGCACAGTGCTGTGAAGCTGTCAGCAGCCTCTGCAGCACGGCTTCGACTCCCCGCCAGCCAGGGAGATTCCCACATGGTGTGGCAGACCTCTCCTGTCCTGCCCGCTGCTCTCCTCAGCAGTGCTTTCGGTCCATTTGCCTGTTCTGCTCCCCACTCTGTCTCTGGTTAATCCTCTTACCCTCCCGTGCCTCTGGCTGTACCCCAGCTATTGTATAAATTAAAAAAATAAATAAATCTTTAAACAAACAAAAAGAAACCTTAAGTTTTCCTTTTCCTCTGCATATGCCTTGCTAGCTCTAGAAAGTCTCCCAGCTTCCTCCCCATCTTTTCAACCTGAGCCAAGCCTGCAAGCCCAGTCTATGGCTTTGGGACACCAGGACTCAGTGAGTTGCTTTGGTGGGGTGGTTTTCAGATCCTCCCATATTTTAGTAGCTTTTCAGATGCTTTCATTTGCACCCCTTTCCGCCACTGCACTCACACTCTGCAGCAAAAGTAAAACAGTCATCCTGACATTTTCTATCTTTCTTTTCGCAGATATCACTTTGACACAACTTGCAGTTTTCATTGACCCCAAGTACCTTTTGACACTATCACCTAAAAATTAGTCATCCAGGCTGCTGAGGGAATGAAAAGTACTTGAAACTACCTGGAATGAAACGTACTTGAAATTAATACAGATACAGATGTAGCCTGAGAGGCCTGCCACTCACCTTCACCTAACTCACCTCTTCAAAATAGCACTGCTGAATAGAAAAAACAAATCCTTTTGATATTAGCAATTCCTCAAGAGAATATTTACTTGTGCATTTACAGATTCATAATGCTGAATCTATGTAGTATCTGTGAGGCTTATTTTGACTATATGTCATTCTTCTCTAACTTTTTTTTTTTTAAAGATTCATCTATTTATGCATACAAGAACTGGGGTACAGGTCAGAGTTGCGGGAGGTGAGAGGATTCACCAGAGACAGAGTGGGGAGCAGAACAGGTGGATACACTGAAATACACTGCTGAAGGGAGGAGTGGACGAGACAGGAGAGGTCTGCTGCTCCATGTGGGTCGGCTTCCTGGCCAGGAATCGAACTTGTGCTACAGTAGCTTCAGATAACTTCATAGTACTGCAACTTAACCCCTTGCACAACCAGGGAGACCGTCTGACATTTTCAACCTTAGGTCAATTAACATTAATTCAATATTATTCCTTTTGCTTATTTGTTTCCTCCTTTAGAGAAACTTCCAAAGCTTGCAAATATCCCTCCCCCCATAACGACTATTCTAGCAATATTTTCAGATTATTGATACACCAGAATGTTCCATAAAACTGAACTTTGGGGCTGCCATTGTCTTTACACTGCCTTTATAAACACTTAAAAACAAAAGTAAGAGGACCAGGTGATTCGACTTTTAAGCTGTCTTCTCCTATCACTCTCAGTTTAAACTCACATTAGTTGCTCATCTAGTGTGTTCTGTGGATGAATTACTCCCAAACCCCAATGTTTATAAATTCACTCGTTTAGCTAAAACCTTATGGTCTGGCTTAAAATAATTTAGTGCCCTGAACTCTTATAACCTTGCTCTTCTGTGCATTAATTTGAATACTTCCGAGTCAGGCTGATCCTCAACTGGTAGGATACCAGTGTTAGAAGGAGTTGAACTTATTGAGTATATGTGATGTGTACACTCCAGCTTATGGATATTTTCCACTACCAGTTTCCCTTAAGAAATCACGCTCCTTCTGGTAACGAGCTGGAGTGTACATATCCCATTTTCCATCCACAAAGATACCTAAGGTCAAAACTTATTTGCTAATGTAGAAATGATAACAAAAACACACCACGTCTAGGTAAAAGTACCCAAGTTCTGCAGCAGGCTTTACAATGGCGTCCCTGCCAAATTGTTATTTTCAGGTTTACTGACCTGCACTCTAGCTTCAGTCACAGCAATGCGTCTTGCAAGCTCTCTTCTGAGGAAGAAAACCACAAATGTTTGTTTAGCATATGAGATTGTGGCTAAAACAAATATATGAATGTACATTTTATGCTTGTTTTAAAATTTGCATTCTCCCCTCAAGACCCCGCCCTCCACCAGGTAAACTTTTGTCATTCCCAACTCCAGCTCCAGGCTTGCTTTATAGATGGCTTCCGCTATAGTGCCACCCCTAGGGTGTTATCAACAACTGGTAGCCAAGGCAAATAATTTTTTTATAACTGTTTTTTTTAAAGATTTATTTATTTATACAAGCACTGGGTACAGTCAGAAGCGCGGGAGGGTGAGAGAATTCACCGAGCCAGAGAGGGGAGCAGAGCAGGCAGAAGGACCAAAGTACTGCTGAGGGGAGCAGCAGGCGGCAGGAGAGGTCTGCGCGCCATGTGGGACCCTCCTCTGGTGGCCGGGGAGCAGCTGGGGATGGAACCGGCGCTACAGAGACTGCTGGCAGCTTCGCAACCCAGCGCTCAACCGCTGCGCCACCGGGGAGGCCCCAAGGCAAATAATTTTAATGCACTATTAAAAAAGAAAAAGTAATGCAAAAAGTTATGATGAACAAATTATCAAATTTTTAAATAAAAGATCCAACATTGCAGTTGCATGAGAGTAACTTATCCTTCCCTACTGTGACACCAATGGAAATTTTATTTACAAAAGCAGGCTATCAGGACAGGTAATAAGAGAAAAAAAATTGAACCACACCAAAACAAAAAATTTCTTTCCATCAAAGGACGTAATCAATAGAGTGAAAAAGCAACTGACAGATTGGCAGAAAATATTTGCAAATCATGTATCTGATAAGGAGCTAATATCCAGAATATATTAGTATCCCCTACAAGTCAACAATAATTAAACAAATATCCAGATTTAAAATTGGACAAAGGACTTGAATAGACATATCTCCTAAGGAAATATACAGATGGCCAGCAGGCACTCGAAAAGATGGTTGACATCACTAATTTATCATTAAGGAAATGCAAATCAAAAAGCACACTGATACCACCTTATCCCAATAGATTGGCTACTGTCAAAAAACAGAAAATAACAAGCGTTGGCAAATTTGTGGAGAAACTGAATCCCTTGTGAACTGTTGGTAGAAATGTTAATTATGCAGTTGCTAAGAAAAACAGTAGACCTGTTGCTAAAAAAATATCATTATTATTATTTTAATTATCATTATCAATATTATTATTTTGTCTATTTATGCATAAAAATTATCATTATTATTATTTTGTCTATTTATGCATACAAGAACTGGGGTACAGGCCAGAGGTGCGGGGGTGGGGGTGGGGATGGGGGCTGTGAGAGGATTCACTAGAGACAGAGCAGGGAACAGAACAGGCGGATCGACTGAAACACACTGCTGAGGGGAGCAGCGGGCGAAAGAGGAGAGGTCTGCTGCATCATGTGGGTAGCTCTCTGGCTGGCCGGGGATCGAACTCATGCTGCAAAGGCCACTGACAGCCCCACAGTGCTACGCCCAACCCCCAGTGCCACCAGGGAGGCCCTTTTTGCTAAAAAAATTAAATACAGAATTACTATCCTACTGGGTATATACCCCAAAGAACTGAAAACAGTCTTAGAAAGATATTTATTCACCCATGTTCATAGTGGTACTATTCACAACAGCCAAAAGGCTGAAGCAACCCAAGTGTCCATTAATAAATGAACAGATAACTGGAATGTTTTACATTTTGACCTCCTTAGCCCAACATTCCAGTTATAAAACAAATAAGTTATGGGGATGTAATGTATAGCATGGTGACTATAGTTAATAATACTGTTTTGCATACTTGAAAGTTGCTAAGAGAATAAATCTTAAAAGTACTCATCACAAGAAAAGTATGTTTGTAAACATGTATAGGGATGGATGTTAACAAGACTTATAATAATCTTGCAATGGATACAGATAATCATTATGTTGTACACCTGAAGCTAATATAGTATTTATAGATCAATTATACCTCAATAATAATAACCATAGAGTGTACATGTTGACTTTTCTTGATGTCAAAAATCAAGTATTCTGTATGGTTGAGCGTTGTCCCTGATATAAATTTGTTTTGGGTTTTTTTTTAAGATTTATTTGTTTATTTATTTATACAAGCACTGGGTACAGTCAGAAGCGCGGGAGAGTGAGAGAATTCACCAGAGCCAGAGCCGGAGGCAGAGCAGGCAGAAGGACCGAAGTACACTGCTGAGGGGAGCAGCGGGCGGCAGGAGAGGTCTGCGCGCCATGTGGGACCCTCCCTCCGGTGGCCAGGGAGCATCTGGGGATCAAACCGGGGCAGCAGAGGCTGCGGGCAGCTTAGCAACCCAGCGTTCAACCGCTGCGCCACCGGGGAGGCCCCCTGATATAAATTTGAGTGGAGGAAAAAAAGCTGCAAATTTCATTTCAAATGCAAAGTAAAGAAAAAAAAATCTGGAATAAAATAAATGTAGTTAACGTAACTTACTCCAGGTAGTAAGGAAAGAACTTTCAGTTTGTATTTTATAGTTTTCCATATTATTTAGCCATTTTAAAAATAAATATGAGCAACTTTTTAAACCAACAAACTTTAACAACATTTTTGCTGAATTCTCTTGGCCACGTGATTTGCAAACTGGTTAAAAAAAGAAATCAATGAAGGGATAAACAAAGTACAGTCTCTATATGAAATGGAATATTATTCAGGTTTAAAATGGAAAGATAGGGCCTTCCTGGTGGCACAAGGGGTTAAGACACAACCTATGAAGCTGTCCGCAGCCTCTGCAGCACAAGTTCTATCCCTCAGCCAGTTGGGGAGCAACCCACATGGTGCAGCAGACCTCTCCTGCCTTGCCTGCTGCTCCCCTCCTCAGTGTTTTCAGTCAATCTGCCTGTTCTGTTCCCCACTCTGTCTCTAGTGAATCCTCTCACCACCCCCCCACACCACTGCCCTCTACCCCAGCTCTTGTATGCATAAATAAATAAATCTTTTAAAAATAAAATAAAATGGAAAGATATTCAGACATATACTAACACGTGCAGGAACAGCTAAAGACTGTATGCTACATGAAATAAGTTAAGTCACCTAAAAAGACAAAAACTTACTGATTCCATTCATATGAAGTACTTAGAGGAGTCAAAATCAGAGATAGAAAGTAGAATGGTAGTTACCAGGGACCAGCGCAGGAGGGGATGGAGTGTCATTGTGTAATAGGTATAGTTTCAGTTCTACAAGATCAAGAGTGTTGGAGATGGGTGGTGGTGAAGGTTGCACAGTAATAGGAATGTACATAAAACCACCGATCTGTAAAGTTAAAATTTGTTTAAGGTAGTAAATTTTGTTTGTGTATATACCAGAATAAAAATTTAGGGGAAAAATCAGGTCTCATGAAGCATAAAAATAGAAAAAGGACTTGAACAAATATATTAAAAGATGCTCAATGTCAGTAATCAGTAAGAAAATACAATCAAAACCACAGTGAGATACCATGTTATCCACAGAGATGGTTATTACCAAAAAACAAAAAATTACAAGTGTTGGTGAGAAAGTGGAGAAATTGGAGCCCTTGTACATTGTTAGTGGGAATGTAAAATGGTGTGGCTACTCTAGGAAACGGTAGATCAGTTGTTCAAAAAAAAAAAGGAAAAACAGAGAAATTCTACTTCTGGGCTGATAATTGAAATCAGTGACTCTAGTTGGTATTTGCACACCCGTGTTTGTAGCAGCATTATTCCTAACCAAAAGGTATGAGCAATCCAAGTGACCATTAATAAATAAACCAATAAACAAAATAAGGAATTCACATACAAAAAAATATTACTCAGTTCTAAAAAAAAATTCTGACACTTGCTACAACCATAGATGAGAACATTATACAAATAAGCCAGTCACAAAAGGAAAAAAACTTTATGATTCCACTTCTAGGGCACCCAGAGAAGTCAAATTCATCGCCACAGAGAGCAAAAAGGTGGTTGCCAGCTGGGGTATAGGGAATCATTTACTGTACACAGCATTTTAGTTTTGCAAGATGAAGAGTTCTGGAGGTTGGTTGCACAACAATGTGAATGTACTTAGCACTATCAAACTAGACACTTAAAATGGTCTGAGAAATAAAATTTATGTTTTTATGTATATTTTACCACACTTTAAAAAAGAAACAAAAACAGCACCAACCAGTTTCCAGATTTGGTTCATGTAACTGCTATATGGAACTATTTACCTTAAATTCCAGAAGGGATTCTCTTCCCCTGATCCTAGAGCAAAAGTGGCTTTTTTTCTTAGCATGGGGAAGGAAAAGACCCAGGAGACAAACAAGCATTCCTGAAAATGATCCCAAATCCCCTGGAGAACTTGGTGCTTCCTGGAGTAAGCCACTTACCTTGAAAGCAGGTCGGGGTATGGATTATGCTGGAAAGCGCTTTCCAGTTCTTGCAGTTGTGTTGGCGTGAACTTGTTGCGTGGTACTCTTTGCTGCCCGCTTGGGAGTTGCAGAGCCTCGCCAGCAGCCGCACAGCCTAACTCCGGCTCCTGGATGCTACCGCCGCTGCCTTGGCCCTGGAGGTTGCCTTCCACCTCGCGATTCCCACCGCTTTCCTGGTTCTCGGTGCCTTCAAGGTTGTTGCTGGCTTCCTGGTTCAGGTAGCCATTCTGGTTGAGGTCACTGTCCTGGTTCACATCGCCATTCTGGTTCAGGTAGTCGTCCAGATCCAGGTCGCCACCCTGGTTCAGGTAGTCATCCAGATTCAGGTAACTGTCCTGGGTCAGTTCGTCATCCTGGTTCAGGTAGCCGCCCTGGTCCAGGTAGTCGTCCAGGAGATTCAGCTTGCCATCCTGGTTCAGGTAGCCGTCCAGATCCAGGTCGTCGATCTGGTTCAGGTAGTCGTCCAGATCCAGGTAATCGTCCTTGTTCAGGTTGCCATCCTTGTTCAGGTCTCCATCCTGGTTGAGGTCAACTTCCTGGTTCAAGTAGTCTTCACTGTTCAGGTAACCTTCCTGGTTAATGTTGACTTGAAGGTTCTGGAAGCCTTCAGGGTTCACGTCATTTTCACGGTTCAGGTAGCCTTCCTGGTTCCCGTGGGCTTCATGGATCAGGCAGTTATGAGAACTCAGGGCGGCTTCCTGGTTCAAGCAGCTATCAGGGTTCACGACGGCTTCCCGCTTCAGGCAGCTCCCAGGGTTCATGGCGGCTTCATGGTTCAAGTAACTGTCAGGGTTCATGGTGGCTTCATGGTTCAAGTAGCTCTCGGGGTTCACTGCGGCTTTGTGGTTCAGGCAGCTTTCGGGGTTCACAGCCTCTTCACGGCTCAGCCAGACTTCCTGATGAACAGGGTCCACAAGGTCCGGATCTCTTCGGTCAGTGTAACTACCTCTTGGTCCCTGTGAGGCAGCCTGCTGAGGAGTTTTTATCACCACCTGAAACACTCCCCGGCAGTAGCAGTGGGGGTTATCATAGTTCCCTCTGGGCGGAGGCGCCATGGCTGGAGCGCTGTGAAGTTTGGCGCCTTCACAAACTCTGACGGTCAGGGACCGAACTGGAGGCAGAGGCTGACCAAGGTCCTCTTATTGGCGCCAAAAGCGTGTTGCCAGGCTCTGCCTCAGGTTCGACACCGCCAGCGGGCGGTAGGTGGGACTTGCTTTAGGCGCGCAAGTGGCAGGGGCGTGGCCTCAAGCAAGGGGCACTGTGGGAAGGAAGGGGTTGTGGGTACGTGCAGAATCAGGGCTGTTTGCGACCCTGCTCGCTACTCCGGATCTGAGCAGAGTGTCTGCCCTGAGAAAAAGAGCGTACTTGATTAGCTAAGGTGATTGTGGGGTGAGCGAGAGGGAGAGGTGGGGGGATCGAGACCTCACACTAACCACGGGAGCCCTTGTGGAAAAGTTTGGAGAACATCTCATGGTCCGATCCTCCATATTTCATTTATTTATTTATTTTTAAAGATTTATTTATTTATTTATACAAGAACCGGGGTACAGGCCAGATGTGCATGAGGGAGAGAGGATCCACCAGACACAGCAGGGAACAGAACAGGCAGAATGACGGAAAACACCGCTGAGGGGCGCAGCGGGCGAGAATGGAGAGGTCTGCCCTGCCATGTGCGACCCTCGCCCGCCAGCTGGCCTAGATCAAACCCGCATCGCAGAGGCTGCGGACAGCTTCACAGCGTGGTGCTTAACCCCCTGCGCCACCAGGGGAGGGCCTATTTATTTATTTTTATTTTATTTATTTTAATTTTTAAAAGATTTATTATTTATTTATACAAGCACTGGGTACAGTCAGAAGCACGGGAGGGTGAGAGGATTCACCAGAGACAGAGTGGGGAGCAGAACAGGCAGAATGACTGAAATGCACTGCTGAGGGGAGCAGCGGACGGCAGGAGAGGTCTGCTCGCCATTTGGGATCCTCACCTGCCGGCCCGCCGGGATGGAACCAGCGCTGCAGAGGCTGCGGACAGCTTCACAGCGTGGCGCTCAACCACCTGCGCCACCAGGGGAGGCCCTGTAAAATATTTTTTGAAACTGATGTGATTTATTAATTTTTTTCTATATACCATTTCTTATCACTGTTTGTGATTCTACTAGCAAATATGTTTTTCTCCATTCAAATACCATATAAATTTTGGGCCTCCCTGGTGGCCTAGGAGTTAAGACTCAGAGCTATCACTTCTAAGCTCTGAGTTCCATCCCAGGCCAGAGAGCTAACCCGCATGCCGCAGCAGACCTCACCTGCTGCTCCCTTTAGCAATATATTTCAGTAGATCTGCCTGTTCTGCTCCCCACTCTGTCTCTGGTGAATCCTCTCACCCCCTGTATTTCTGGCTTACACCTCAGTTCCTCTACACAAAAATAAATAAATAAAAATATTTAAAAAAACACAAATACTTGGTGGAAATTCTATGGGGACTACACCTGAGAAAAGAAAGCAAACAGTCAAAAAATTGATGAAAAATGAACAATGATGTAAAATACAAAATAAAAAGAAAAAACACAAATATTACATAAATTTATACTCATAAGGGCCTCCCCGGTGGTGCAGCGGTTGAGCGCTGGGCTGCGAAGCTTCCTGCAGCCTCTGCAGTGCCGGTTTGATTCCCGGCTGCCTGGCAAGGGAACCACATGTTGTGCAGACCTCTCCTGCCGCCCACTGCTCCCCTCAGCAGTGTATTTCGTCCGTCTGCCTGTTCTGTTCCCCACTCTGGCTCTGGTGAATTCTCTCACCCTCCCGCACTTCTGACTGTACCCAGTACTTGTATAAAAAAAAATTATACTCATAAATATTATAAACAACATTTTATATTTTCTGGTCACACTAGTGTATGCATATGAGAAAGCCAATAGCCAGCATCTAACATGTAGTACCTATACTTTGAACTTGAGGCTGACAGGCTGTCACCAACACTACACACCCCAAGAGGACTCGACTTGACTATTGGTTGTATCTTTAGACCCTACCAGGGATCACCACTTACCCTAGCATAGAATCTGCGTGGATGTAGAGCTACATTGACAATTGAGGACAAGAAGCTTTTACCCTGGGGCTGGGGTGGGGTGGGGGAACATGATGAAACGGGTTACCTGGGAAGTACCAGGAAGACTGCATGGCCAGTGCCTGGATGGTGACAGGTGCTTCAACCACCTCCAGGAAATGAATTTTGGGACAGCAAAGCGGATAGGACTCTGAGCTCCTAACTGCTCTTCTCAATCCTGGGCCCCTGCCTTCCTCCTGCCCTTCAACCTTGCCATCCAATGCCCTTATTTCTTTTTGGATAAAAATTCTCCTGTCACCTTGGTGGCTGCATCAAAAGAAAAGGAGGAAATTGGGCCTCCCCGGTGGCGCAGCGGTTGAGCGCTGGGTTGCGAAGCTGCCCGTGGCCTCTGCGGCGCCGTCTCTATCCCCGGCTGCTCCTCGGCCACCTGAGGAGGGTCCCACATGGCGCGCAGACCTCTCCTGCCGCCCGCTGCTCCCCTCAGCAGTGTACTTCCGTCCTTCTGCCTGTTCTGTTCCCCGCTCTGGCTCTGGTGAATTCTCTCACCCTCCCGCGCTTCTGACTGTACCCAGTGCATGTATAAACAAACAAATAAACAAATAAATAAAACATGCCTCTATAAAAGAAAGAAAGAAAGAAAGAAAGAAAGAAAGAAAGAAAGAAAGAAAGAAAGAAAGAAAGAAAGAAAGAAAGAAAGAAAGAAAGAAAAGGAGGAAATTGGTGCAACCTAAGGAAAGAGCAGCAGCACTAGTGACACCAGCAAAAGGCTGTGTTGATAGGGGAGTTTTTGGCCCCATGGATGAAGAGAACCTCAAAGGCACACAGACAGGGGGACATGCAGGAGCCCCTCTACCACACCACTGCCACTTTAACCAGGTTGCAGTTTCAGGAGGAAAGAGGCATGTTCAGACCATGCCCACTTTTCCAGTGAGCACTGGCTGGGCCCCAAACTCATTCTCTCTCCCAGAGCCTCTTACTCTCTCTTCCTGAGCCAGACACCAACTAGGGCTCCCCAAGATGCTGCAGTAGCTTCATTGTGCTGAGACTTAACCGCTTCCCTCACCAGGGAGGCCTGACTTAGCTGTTTTCTTACCCACTATCTGGAAACATGGAGGAGAAGACACTTTCCATTCACAGCAGATGAGATGACTAGGGCACAGAATACATTGGGTGAGTCCCTGAAAACAGTTTAAATTTGGATGCAAGATAGGCTTGATGAGAACTGTGAATGTGCAAGTAAAAAGATAATTTTGGGATAGTCAGGCAAAAGGTCCATTCTAAAAAGCTAGTCAGAGTATTAAGCTAGTAAGGATATTAACACATCTGGAGCACATATAAAGGATTCCTCCGGGGTAATCTACAGTACTCAATACACTTGCCTCTCTTTATTTGACAATAAAATTTATTTATTCCTAAGGACGAGATCAGGAAGATATTTAAAGAAAAGGGAGCAGAGGCAGCAGCAAGGAAAAAAAAAAAAAAAAACCACTTGTGTGGGAAATCGACCAGATACACAGCACCCAGCACACACAGGGAAGGAGCTCATTTTTTCTTTATTTTTGAAGAGGGTCAATAGCGAGAGACACAGTAAAAGTCACAATATCAGCAAATGAACAAGGAGGAAAGGTCCCTCGGATTTCGGCATTTTTATCCGTTCTACGCATGTTAACGTTTCTACCCCTGCAACCCAAACAGATTCATCGATAAAATAGTACAGGCCGCGGACATTCTCAACCTGCATGCTAGCTGGTTGCATTTTCTGCACACTGCATCTGAGCGAGCAGCAAGCTCAGAAAACCCATCTCCAGCTCTTGCTCCTGAAGGCCCCAGGACTCTGCGAGCTCTGCCTTCGACTTTGTTGCAAACACTCCGAGCAAGCCACCTCCTACCTAAATTGTCCCGTTGTGCTTAGTACTGGCTGCTGCATGCGGGGGGCTGGATGAAGAGAAATTCTGGGACGTTTCTCCAAGGCCCACGGAGGAGGGATGCGGGGGGTCTCTCACGCTCCACACCTGGGCTTGCACAACCCAGCAGAGTCCCTTTCCTCGGAGACACGCGGCCAAGTGTGGAGCAGTCAACCAAGCTGCCCCTAGCGGAGCCCAAGTCGTGCCATCCCACCGGCCCCCCTCCCACACCCCCCGCCCCACCCCCCGCCAGTGCCCATGCACCTAGCAGCCCTCCCGATGGGTGCAGGCAGCGCCTCGTGTGCACTCAGAGCCCCCGCCCCCCACGACAGAAAGCTCTGGCAACTGGGCAGGCCCGGCCCGCCCGCGAAAGTGAGGAGGAGGCGTCGAAGTCGACACACAGTAACCGGACTACTTAAAAGGGCGGCGGGCAGCAGCCCCCTTTGCAGCGCTGCAGGCGCCACCTCCCCAGAGGCACGCGGCGCCCGCCCGGCCCAGCACGCACCCGCGGAAGCGCCAGGCCGGGGGGACAGCACCAGGCCTCGGGCCTCTGCAGCCCGGCAGCCGGAGCCGCGCCAGCTCCCCGGGCCAGCGAGGAGCCCAGGCACGCGGGCAGCGCCAGGTGAGAGCGGGCGGCGCCCCGCGCCCCAGGCAGAGGCCCCGGGAAGGCGCGTTGGCCGGGCCGGGCCCGGGGGCCCCCTGCGGGGCTGCTGAGGCCTGGGCACCCACGCCCGCTCTTCCTCTCGGGCTCTCTCTTCCGCAGCCGAGATGCCGCGGGACATGTCGTCGGCCCTGGCTGAGGAGGACCAGGAAGAGGCGATGCCGGGAGAGGCGGCCAGCGAGGGGGGCGGCGACCCTGGCGCGGGGTCGCCGCGCTCGCGGGACAACAGGGACGGCGACCACGTGCTCGGCGCCGGCGGGGAAGATGGCGGCCCCGGGCAGGCGGGAGAGCAGGGCCAGGAGGGGCCGCGCCGCCCGGGGCTGGGGGGCGCGCGGCAGCGGGCCCGGCGCCCCGCGTTCAGCGCGCGGCAGCTGCAGGCCCTGGAGAGCGTGTTCCTGGCGTCGCCGTACCCCACCACCAGGCTGAGGTAAGACGGGGCGGCCCGAGCCGGCCGACGCCCTCGCGCCCCCTGGCCCGGGAGAGCCCCCGGGCCGCGCTGGGGGTGGCTGGGGGGAGGCGTGGGGGTGCAGCCCCCTTCAAGGGCCGAGGGCGAGGGACGCGGCCAGGTCGCTTTCAAAGGAGTGGAGGCGGAGGGCGAGGGCGCGCGCCTGCTGCTGTGCCCAGCGGCCTACGCCCCGCCCCAGCCTGGGGCCTCTGGCGGGTGGCGGCTGCCTTCTGGGGCGCTTCAGAAGACGCGCCGTCCGTTATGACCGTTGCAAACCACACAACAGCAAGAGAGGGCAGATTTAGGTATCACCGAAAGGTTTACTTTTTTGAAAGAGTTGTTTTTTTATGCATACAGGAACTGGGGTACAGGCCAGAGGTGTGGGGGGGTGAGAGGATCCACCAGAGACAGAGTGGGGAACTGAACAGGCAGATTGACTGAAGTACAGGGCTGAGGGGAGCAGCGGGCGAGTCAGGAAATGTCTTCTGTGCCATGTGGGTTGCTCCCTGGCCGGCCGGGGATCGAACTGGTGCTGCAGAGGCTGCCGACAGCTTCATAGGTTGCGTATTAACTGCTTGCACCACCAGGGAGGCCTCGAAAAGTTTATTTTTTAATTTTTTTAAAGATTTATTCGTTTATACAAAAACTGGGGTACAGGCCAGATGCGCGGGAGGGTGAGAGGATCCACCAGAGACAGAGTGGGGAACAGAACAGGCAGACTGACTGAAATACACTGCTGAGGGGAGCAGCAGGCCAGACCGGAGAGGTCTGCTCCCATATGGGATTCTCGGCGGCCAGCCGGGATGGAACCCACGCTGCAGAGGCAGCGGACAGCTTCACAGTGCGGCACTCAACCGCCTGCGCCACCAGGGAGGCCCCAAAAAGTTTATTTTTTATATCTTTAAAAGATTTATTTATTTATTTACACAAGAACTGGGGTACAGGTCAGAGGTGGGGGGGTGTGATGAGAGGACCCACCAGAGACAGCGCGGGAAACAGGACAGGCAGACGCACTGAAACACACTGCTGAGGGGAACAGCGGGGGAGACAGGACAGGTCTGCTGCGCCATGTGGGTCAGCTCCCTGGCTGGCAGCGGATGGCACTCATGCTGCCGAGGCTGCGGATTGCTTCATAGGTTGCGTCTTAACCCCTTGTGCCACCAGGGAGGCCATAACCGCTAAGTTTAAAGTGTCTTTTTCAAAGAAACTATTTCCAATCAAGTCTTCACATTTACATAGAGAAGTTTGGAAGTAACCCAAGGCCAAACCCGGGTTTCTGGACACCATGATCTAGCTTGTGTAAGCTTTAGAGAGGCTCACAACTGCTGATTGAAAATATGTTTGGGCCACGCTGGTGGCTCAGGCGGTTGAGCGCAGCACTGTGAAGCTGTCCGCAGCCTCGGCAGCTCAGGTTCCATCCCGGCTGGCCGCGGAGGATCCCACATGGCGCAGCCGACCTCTCCTGTCTCGCCGGCTGCTCCCCTCAGCAGTGTATTTCATCAGTCTGCCTGCTCTGCTCCCTGCTGTGTCTCCGGTGAATCCTTTCACCCTCCCGCACATCTGGCCTGTATCCCGGTTCTTGTATTTAAAAAAGAAAAAAAGAAAATACGTTTGCCTTTTTCACTGTGGTTTTTGCATGGGCCGATCTCAAACCAGGTGGAGGGCAGGCCGGCCTTATGGCTATGGGAAAATAGCTTTCACCGAGATGGCATCCCAAGGCCATGCTGCTCTTGTATAGAACAGTTACACCTCTCAGATCCAATGGCAATGATAGCCGTGAGATACGTGTTTTCACCACCTGACATTTCTCTAACATTGAACAAAACCTTCCTTATCCTACCTATGCTACATACTTTAAATCTTGCTTATTATTTTGGACCCAACAAATTGATCCTTTATGGAGTAGGAGAGCTGATGATAAAGAGTGATTGGCAGGGATCTTTATCATCCTGAGTGATGAGATTGTGTGCTAATGCTGCTTTTCTTTCATCCCTGTCTTTTCTTGGAGGACTGTTTCCGAGTTACCCTTGTAAGGGACTTCTAAGTGGTTTTGAACAAAACTGTTTCATTATAAAATTAATGAGATTTGCTATAGATAAAAAAAGATAGTGTTCCATTAGCAACAGGGTAAGGTTGTGGGTGAGAAGACTGGGCCGTGTGGAGCAAGTGCAGGTTAGGATTCTGCCTTCCCTTAAACTTTTGATAAGTGTGCTCATTATGGATTGCATTTGTGTTAACTTTTACAACTCTCAGTACTACATTTCAAAATTATCTTGATTGATGTTTTTTCTGCATCCCCTTACCTTTTGCTCTGCAGGAAAACTCCTCAAGCATGCCTTGCTGGGGATTACAGAAAGTGTTCTGGGGTGGGAGTGGCGCGTTGGGGACAAAAGCCTTGAAACAGATAATGAAATAATGTCCTCATTTCATTTCATCCACAACCCCATACTGAACACTTGTGATTTTTTTCCTCCGCAGACAGCAGCTGGCAGGAGTCTTGAACGTGACTGAAAGAAGAGTGCAGGTGAGTAACCCTGAATAAAGCTGTTTGGGGCGGGTGGGCAGCATTCTAAAGCTGCTGGAGGACCCGATGCCTGGGCCTCAGACCTTCTCATGATGGTGTGGTTTCCTGCCTGTTGCATGTTTGGGAAATAAGTGTTGGACTTGAGGTGCTGATGACTGGAAATGGGTCAGGGAACTCCAGCTTTTTGAAATGCACCTTTGTCAAAGGGAAAATGCTTTCCTGTACTAAGCTATTCATTGTAAGTAAGGATCTCTCTCTGTCTCTCTCTCTTCACTGATACACACACACACACACACACACACACACGCTCACACACACCACTGTAAAAACTCTGCCCACATATACTTCTGTATTCTATGTCCCTGAAATATGTAGGCATTAATTACATAATCTGTTAACATTGATTCATACATTACTAACACACAGCAAACACATGACACTGTATGATTAGTATACAATAATCATAATTAACATTGTTATCTCAATTATGTCTGTGTTAAGTTATGCTATGTCAATTAGTGTATTTATGTATTGTATTATGTATTATACTTAAACATGTGTGTTTCTGTATACTATGTATTATGTTATATAGAGTATTATGTAATGCTCTATATAACATTTGCTGCCCAGCGTCCCAGTGTCTGAGCCGGACTGCGGGCTGTCTGACACTTCCTAAGATATTTTAGCAAGGAGAGAGTTTCCTCTGGTGCAGCCTAAACGCTGAAGGGCATGTTTTCATGTGTGACAGTGAGTGCTCAACGTTCTAATGGAGCCCCTTTCTCTCTCTCTCTCTGAAGTCTTGGTTTAAGCAAAGACGGGCCAAGTGGAGGAGACGCCAGAGGGCATCCATGATGAGGAACGTGCCTCCCATGGCCCAGGGCCACCCTGTCGTCCTCAACATGGGTGGTCCCTGCAGCGCCATCTATTTCCAGCATCTGAATTGCATATGGCCTGTTTTGGGTGCACCCCCGCCTGTGGTGCTGCTGCCGCAGCCGCCACCCGGGCACCAGCCAGCGCCAGGGCCCCAGCCGCCTCCCGGGCCCCAGCCGCCTCTTGGGCCCCAGCCACCTCCCGGGCCCCAGCCACCTCCTGGGCCCCAGCCACCGCCCTTGCAGAACCCCTACCAGCCGCCCTTCCTGTTTATGCCTCCTCCATTCATTCTTCTTCCATGTTGGATCCCCTGTTCCAACCCGACCTGTTCCCTGCCCCGCTGTGCCCCACCCCCTCCTAACACGGCCTGGTACTTTACCGTCAATGGGCCTGTGATAGCCCCCTTTTTCTAAACAATGGTCGTTTTCCCAAAGTGCTTTGCAGCCAGCTCCACATGCTGCATCCTTCTCTGTCAAGGCCAGCGGATTAAATGCCTGCTCAGTGTGTTCAACACAAACTTGTCAAGCCACTATTTCAGGGCACGGTTTTGTATTTTCAATAAAGTTGTGACTTTTCTGCATATTCGTTCGGTGTGTCCTGTGGGTTAGTAAATGTGGGTGGAGGTGGCTAAGAGAGTGTCACTGAGCCCGAAAGGCAGTAGGCTGCCTTTCACGTAGGCACAGTCCCAAGTCACCACCTTGGTAGGCCACGAGCATCACTCAAGTCCCCAAGTGCCCAGGGCAGCTTTCCACAGACCCACCCCTTCCCCAGTCCCTCATCCTGCCCCACCTTGCCCCATGGAACCCCACACTTGTGCCAGACAGGCTGCTGTGAGTCCCCGTTGAGACAACAGGGTGTTTCTAGGCCTGGTCAGACCCACTTTGGCCTCTGGATCTTCAAAGAAAGGCTAAGCCCTCGCACCCCATCTCATGCCATGCCACTGGAATCCTGAGTGCATCATGATATGAAGCGATCATGACTATGGGAAGGTCTCAGATGCCTTGATTCACAGAACCCATTGTGATGCCACCACCCAAGCACCACGTAACCCAGGAAACACGTTTGGGTCCGGTTGGCAAAACTATTCCCCAGTGCAGAGCACACAGAAAGGATTGTGTGTTCCAGTGTAAACATCCCGGTCAAGAAAATGTTCTCAGCTTAGGTTCCGCATAAGCCCCTCCCCTTCTCAACATCAGGCCCAGACAGCAGGTTTGTGGAGAATGGGAGTCAGGCATCTCTCTGGACCTTTTCTGTTTTCTTCCCTGCCTTCCCCTTCCCCGACAGGGGCGGGATAGAGACCATTCCATCAGGAGAGTGCTGCTCTTCAAAACTAACACAACAGAGTATGCTCCCTCCAGTCCAGAGGTAGTTCTCCACTCTCCTCCCCCACCCCAAGCAGTGTAGCCATCTTGTGGCTTCTGGCCAGCCCAGAGCCTTCCATTGTGTCCTGTCACCTTGCTAGAACCCTGGTTCCTGCTAAGGAAACATTGAAAAGTAACCTGCTGGTTTAGTTTTGCCAGAATCACAGAGGAAAGTTTCCCTACGCAGTGATCCAGATTCATCATTGAAAGCCAGCTGTACATCAAGCTCTGCACATGTTGCCTTTTTCTTATAACTGTCAGGGTAAAAGACATGCACAACACTCAGAGAAAAATGATACACACTGAAAACATCTGCAAATGGCAGAATTGACCGTTATTATTAGATCTTTTTGAGATCCATATTTTGGCCTGTAGTCCCTGCCTTCAGTTATTTAACTTTGAGACTGAGAAAAGACACGGTTTTCTCTTCACCTTGGAATTTGAGAGGCAGAGGGGCTGATGCGGAACCTAAGCTGAGAACATTTTCCTGACCGGGTTGTTTACACTGGCACACACAATCCTTTCTGTGTGCTCTGCACTGGGGAATAGTTTTGCCAACGGACCCAAACCTGTTTCCTGGGTTACTTGGTGCTTGGGTGGTGGCATCGCAATGGTTCTGGGAATCAAGGCATCTGAGACCTTCCTGTAGTCAGGATCGCTTCATCTCACGAGGCACTCAGGATTCCAGTGGCATGCCATGAGATAGGGGTGGGAGAGCTTAGTCTTTTTTTAAAGAGCCCCAGACCCAGCAAAGCCATCAGGTCTGGGGGGTTGGGGGGTTAAGGGGTGGGGGGAAAAGCAGGGGTAGGCTGGAGCTGAAGCTTACTTACATTTTTCGCTGAATCGAGACCTGAATGACTTCAGACAGAAAGCTCTGGGAGCTCAGCCTCAGACCTTGCCACCAGTCCTACCACGCCAGCTCGAGGTGCGCCACAACTACACTCTCAAGAGCAGTCCAGTGCGCCAACTTCCTTCCAAATCCAGGATACTTCTGTGTAAATAGGAATTTTTTAAATTAATTAATTAATTTTTAATTTTATACATTTTTACATCATTGTTCGTTTTTGCACAATGTATGCATTTTCATCTTGATTATAGTCCCCATACAATTCCCACCCCCCCTTGTTTTGATCCTACTCCCCCCACCCCGTGTGTCTCTGGTTTATGGTTGCTTGTTGATTTTTATTTTGATTTTATTATAATTAGTCTTTTTCCTGGTCCCTTATTTAGGTTTTATAAATTCCTGCTATGAGTGAGATCACCTGGTATTTTTTTTTTTCTTTCTGGCTTATTTTACTGAGCCCTTCCGGCTCCATCCATGTTGCTGCAAATGGCATGAGTTTATCTTTTTTGATTGCTGAGTAACATTCCATGGTGTATATGTACCACATCTTCTTGATCCAGTCATCTATTTTTGGCCATGGGTTGTTGCCATAGCTTAGCTATAGTGTAAATAGTACTGCTATAAACATAGGGGTGCAGGTGCTCTTTGGAATTGATGTATCTGTGTCCTTTGGGTAAATACCTAGGAGTGGAATTGCTGGATCATATGGAAGCTCCATCTTTAGCAGTTTGAGGAATCTCCACACAGCTTTCCATAGTGGTTGGACCAGTTTGCACTCCCACCAGCAGTGCAGGAGAGTTCCTTTTTCTCCACATCCTTGCTAACATTTTTGTTGCTAGTTTTTTTTAATATGTGCCATTCTCACTGGTGTAAGATGGTATCTCATTGTAGTTTTGATTTGCATTTCCCTGATTACAAGTGATGTTGAACATTTTTTCATATGCCTGTTGGCCATTTGCATTTCCTCTTCAGAGAAGTTACTTTTTAGCCCTTCTACCCATTTTTTGACTGGATTATTTTCTTTGGTTTTGGTGAGTCTCATCAGCTCTTTGCAGATTTTTGTGATCAGCCCTTTATCATTGGTCTTGTGTGCAGAAATTTTCTCCCAATGGGTGGGGTGTCTCTTTGTTTTTGGTTACTGTCTCTTGCTGTACAGAAGCTCTATATTTTGATGTAGTCCCAGCTGTTTATCTTTGCCTTCACTATCACTGCTTTGGGTGATGTGTCTTTAAAGATGTTACCGAGGTGTATGTCATGTAGTGTTTTGCCTATATTTCCTTCTATATGTTTTGTGGTTTCAGGTCTTATGTCTAGTTCTTTAATCCATTTTGAGTTGGTTTTTGTGCATGGTGTGAGATAGTAGTCAAGCTTCATTCTTTTGCATGTAGCGACCCAGTTTTCCCAACACCATTTATTGAACAAACTCTCCTTGCTCCATTGCCTATTCATTTCTCCTTTGTCAAAGATTAGTTGACCATAAATCTGAGGTTTTTTTCTGGATTTTCTATTCGGTTCCATTGGTCCATGTGTCTGTTCTTGTTCCAATACCATGCAGTTTTTATTATTATGGCTTTGTAGTAAAATAAAGTAAATAATCCAGTCAAAAAATGGGTAGAAGGGCTAAAAAGAAACTTCTCTGAAGAGGAAATGCAAATGGCCAACAGGCATATGAAAAAATGTTCAACATCACTTGTAATCAGGGAAATGCAAATCAAAACTACCATGAGATACCATCTTACACCAGTGAGAATGGCACATATTAAAAAAACTAGCAACAACAAGTTTGAAATCTGGGATTGTGATACCTCCATTCCCTTTTTTTTTTTTTTTCAGGAGAGCTTTGGCTATTCGGGGTTTTTGGTGGTTCCATATGAATTTCATCAATATTTATTCTATTTCTTTGAAGAATGTCATTGAAATTTTTATTGGAATAGCATTGCATCTATAAATTGCTTTTGGTAGGATGGCCATTTTGATAATGTTAATCTTTCCAGCCCATGAGCAGGGGATGTCTTTCCGTTTCTTTGTGTCTTCTATTTCTTTTAACAGTGTTTTATAGTTTTCTTTGTATAGGTCCTTTACTTCTTTTGTTAGGCTTATTCCCAAGTATTTGATTTTTTTTGTTTCAATAATAAAAGGGATGGTTTTCTTGATTTCTTCTTCTTCAGATTGATTGTTTGTGTATAGGAAGGCTACTGATTTTTGTGTGTTGATTTTGTATCCTGCTACTTTACTAAATTGATTGATTAGTTTGAATAGTTTTTCTGTGGAGTTTTTGGGGTTCTCTATGTATATTATCATATCATCTGCGTATAGTGATAGTTTAGCTTCTTCCTTCCCTATTTGGATTCCTTGTATGTCTTTCTCTTGTCTTATTGCTTTGGCTAGGACATCCAGTATTATGTTGAAAAGCAGTGGTGAGAGTGGACGTCCTTGTCTTTTTCCAGATCTTAATGGAAATGCTTTTAACTTTTCACCATTGAGAATGGTATTGACTATGGGCTTGTCATATATGGCTTTTATGATGTTGAGGTATGTTGCTTGTATCCCAAGAATTTCAAGGGCCTTTATCATAAATGGGTTTTGTACTTTGTCGAAAGCTTTCTCAGCATCTATTGATATTATCATATGGTTTTTATATTTCTTTTTGTTGATGTGTTGGATTACATTGATTGATTTTTGGATGCTGAACCATCCATGTGTCCCTGGAATAAATCCTACTTGGTAGTGGTGAATTATCTATCTTATGGATACATTGTTGGATTCTGTTAGCTAAAATTTTATTGAGGATTTTTGCATCAGTGTTCATTAGAAAGATTGATCTGTAGTTTTTTTTTTTGTGTTGTCCTTGTTTGGTTTTGGTATTAGTGTAATGTTGGCTTCATAGAACGTGTTTGGTATTATCCCTTCCTTCTCAATTTTTTGAAAGAGTTTATGAAGGATAGTCACTAGTTCGTTTCTGAATGTTTGGTAGAATTCATTTGTAAATCCATCTGGTCCTGGGCTTTTGTTTTTGGGGAGGGTTTTGATTACCATTTCAATTTCACTGCTTGTAATTGGTCTGTTTAGGTGTTCTATTTCTTCTTTATCTAGCTTTGGGTGATTGTAAAGTTGTAGGAATTTGTCCATTTCTTCTAGATTGTTGAACTTGTTTGCATATAACTGTTCATAGTAGTTTCTGATTATTCTTTTTATTTCTGCTGTGTCT